TCCTGTGTCCCATCCACAACCTTGTGAGGTGAGACATTCCCACTAGAAAGGACAAGCAGACTGGAACAGCTACAGTGACAGGAGATACATCTTCAAGATGAACCTGACCTATACTCAGAGTGGTAGTTACTCTAAATACCAACAGAGAGGGAAAGAGTCTTCACATCAAGTGTCAATGCTATCCCCTCTGTATACAGGGTAGATAGGGACGGGCAACTTAGACATTGGCTACCTAAAATGAGGGGGCAATAAAGGCACAAAATGACTGGCTTACAAGGTATCAAGAGGGAGATTAGTTTAAGAGTATGGGGGAACGAAAAAATCCCCACTGAATAGCTGTCATCTTGTCTAGATTGGTCTGGTGAAAAGAGATGGGGAGAAGATTATTAAGATTCAATAGTGAATATTTGTTATCATGACTAATAGTGACTGTCACAATTATAAAGGTAGAAGTTTTGTAACAAAAACAGGGGAGTGGTTAATCTTACAGTCCAGAAACAGAGGACCCTAGGACCATCAAGAGAGGAATGCACAAGCAGAATGAGGGGCCTTATCCAGAGAAGCAGCAGCACCAGAGATGGAGGCAGAGATGGGGGCATGGAGAGGGGGAGCAGCTGAGGACTCTAGATTTATGGACTAAGAAGAGAAGAACTAAGAGCTGGTGGCCAGGAGGCAGACTTGCAGAATGTGCCCTTTGGAGGTGTAAATTATTATATATGCCTGAGTAGTTTTTTGTTTTTTAAAAAGCTAAAGTGGATAGAGAGAAATACTGTGAACTGATGGTACATATAGGGCATTATAATCAATGTAATGAAACAAGGTATATGATTTGTTGAATGTAAAACTGATGATATGCCCTGTAAACTTTCACTGAATCCACAATAAAAACCTTAAAAAAAAAATATGTATAACAAAGAAACCAGTAGCACTATAAAAAAATAAAAAAAAAAAAAAAAAAATGACAGCAATCACTTAAACCTACTGAGAAATACACTGAATATAAATGGGTTAAATTCAGCAGTCAACAGACAGAAAGAGCAGAATGAATAAGAAAACATGATCCTTCAATATGTTCTCTAAAAGAGACACATGGAGACAGCCTAAATCCCCACAATAGAAGGATGGTTAAACAAAGTTTGGTACATACACACAATGGAATATTCTGCAACGTTGAAGAATAATGATGAATCTGTGAAACACCTCATAACATGAATTAACCTGGAGGACATTATGCTGAGTGAAATCAATCAATCACAAAAGGACAAATATTGTATTTGACCAATGTAAAAATTTTAATAAAAGCGTTTTCTTAATAAAAGAACAATCTATGATGTTTGCTGAAGTGGGGATGGAGGGAGGGAGGAAAAATTATTTATAGAGGCTGGAGGATATTCACATGTTAACATGGGTTAAGAAGGAGGTTAGCAGAGGAAAGAAGTAGGTAGGAGACACAGAGAGGAAGGCAATATTAAAGAGAATAGAGGTAAATACCATTAACTGATGGTACATGGAGGGGATTGCAATCATTGTAATGAAGCAAAGTATATGACTTATTGAATCTAAAAATGATGATCTGCTCTGTAAACCTTCACTCAATTCACAATAAAAAGTTGTTTTAAAAATTAAGGAAAAGGCAAACTCTGGGGATGGTGAGGGAGGTAGTGTACCAGGCGGCAAGTGGTTGTCCACGAGATGAATTTATTCCGGAGTCTACTGTGGAGTCGATATGAGCTCCCTGTTCGCAGTCAGGGAATCGTTCAACTTTTCCTCAGGACTGGGGCCCTTGGGGACTAGTGTGGTAGGAAGGGAAGGAGGACTCCTCCCCCTGACTTGTTAAATGCCTTCATGTGGGGTCCGACTCTTAGCGACTCTGGATGTTTCTGAGGAGCAGCTGGTGGGTTTGAACCACCAACCTATGCTTAGCAGTCCAGTGGCTATCCTACAACCTGGATAAATAGTGATGCAGTTATCGCTGCCTGAGGACACAAACTTCAACTGACTCTCCTTTTAGGGATTATTTGCTACTTTAAAAACTAGGACCGGGCTGTGGTTCCTTCTGTTGTGCAACAGGGTCGCTATGAGTCCGTACTGACTCGATGGCACCTATCAACGACAAATGCAGACGCGTGGCTCCGCTGGACAAGCACTGACTGGACAGCCCTTAAAACACACACAGACTTGCGTAACTTTATCGCCACTTGTAGCCCTTACGCCTGGGTTCTGGAGGGCACTGGTTCGGGTCTCTGTGGCTAGGGTTCGAGTGATCTGTGGTTATGATGATGTCTTTGAGTCAAGATTTTGGTTCTGTTTCAATGTGAAGCGGTCATAACCAAACTTAAGAATTCTTGACTATCCAAAGTTGTTACTTTACCCCTGTGTGGCCGATTTTGAAGATAGTGTGATTAAAAACAAATAGTCTTGTTTAAATTAGATATTAATTATGTGTCTGAAGTTTTGTAAAAGAAAAACAGTACAACAAAGAAGGTTAAGAACTAATCGCAGCCAAGTGAAGTTCATAGAAATTGAAGGCTTACTGAGAGAAATCAAGATTTTTCCAGATGAAGAACCCTTCAGACTCCCCTGTGACTTTACCCTGCACTCCGCAGGCCTGCGAGACGCCACCATCTCCCCACATAAATAGTTCAAGAAAACAACCTATGAGCGCAGCACTTCGAGAACGACTAAGGAAAACAAGATCATCATTTCCTTACTGTTACAGTATAGTAGAAGGACTTAAAGTAGAGATTAAAGAAAGTGACCCAATTGTTGCAGAGAAACCATTGTCTTCAACAGAAGAAAACTGTTTGGAATATCAAGAAAATTTTAAACATGTAAACAATGAATTGGAAGAAAGTATATGTTTGAAAAGTACCTTCAAGAATATCAGTGCAGAGGAACAAACAAGATGGCGGATCGGGTGGACGTATAGCAGAGAGCTCCGCCAACAACAACACAGAATACCTGACCAAGCAGGCTCAGGGGATG